AAACAAACAAACACGAAAACCCTAACCAGAAAATGAATCATATACCATGAAAAAGGCATATCCAGTCTCAGCTAACCTCGACTAGGTTTTATTGCATTATTTTTGAAATGCCAAAATACTGGCTTTGGCCATAATATTTACTGTCCAACTAAATCATAGCTGTCAGTATGCAGTTGCTTGCAACAATTAGCTAAACACCATTATTTGGAAAATTCCCTTGAAAGAGACGTAAATGCTATAGTGTGTTTAGGTCTAACACACTAAATCAAGTAACAATCAGTCGAGCTGGGGCTGTAGCATAAGGAGAGAAGTTTGGAAATCCTCGCCCAAGGATGGGGTTTTACACAGCCTTACATTTTGAAAAACACATGTTTGTCCTGATCTTACAAGTTCTTTCCTGTTTTCAGAAATAAATTGCGGGACTGACTAAAGTGCAGGGGGAAGAAAGCCCCCGCCAACTCTAGATTAGTTTTTAAGGAGATCAGGAGGAGAGGAAGAAAAATAGAAATGCAAATGTTACATGATAATGATAAAAAAAAAACATGGAAAAAAGAAACATTATGGAACATGCTATCAATTTCTACCAAAGCAGTAAACCCTTTAACTGACAGAAATTCCATACAATATACATATTAATGAACAACTCCATCCACCATTACTAGGGATGCTGTTTAAAGACAAAAAATTAACTACAACATTCAAAAACTGAATTCTCATAAGATTTGAGAAAAAATAGAGTGAAAAGGCAATGTTAGCTAAGCTCTTAGCTAAATCCACTCTTAATGGCCCCCAGTATTTAAACTATCATGGAGTAAAGCCATGAAAATAAAAATTTCAATTTGAAATTTTATTAGCATGTTGCTAAAATGGTCAATAAAAACATCAACACGATAGGCTTTGTTGACATAGCTGGAAAACTGCTCTCTCTTTTTCAAAACTCTATTTCCACTCCCCACCTTCTAAGATTTCTATGTTAGGAAAAGCCAAACTAAATACACTGGCTATGGTGCTGTAATAATGCTGGTTTCTGGAATGTCGCCACGTCCCTCCCCCACCTTCCTCTCCTCCAACCCCTTTAAAAATATGACTATTTTTGAAATGCAGCCTGAGTTGGGAGCAATCAGGGGTTAAGAACAACAAGCTTCCTTCCTCCTTCACACGTTCAAGTTTACAGACACCAGGTGGACGATCTCCTGTCGGGGGGCGGGGCCGGCTCTGCTCGCCGAATTAGCTGCGCCATTTCCCTCCCGGTCCGGGGAAGGGTCCCCTCTGCCACCGAGGGAGCGCAGGCGAATGCGGTTGGGGGTGACGTTCGCTTCCCTCGCTGGAAAGAACAGGAAGCAAACGGTGTCTAGCTTAGCCTGGAGCCTGCAATACAATGTCAGGAGACCTGGGGCTGAAGAGCTGGGAAAGTCCGGGCAGCCTCAGGATAACCCGGAGTCCCAAAGTGCTCTCTTGTGGAATTATTCACAAGTGCACAAGGGACAGGCTCGATTTCTTGGAAATCCTGCGATCTGGGGACACATCCATACAAGAACTGAATTGTGCCCTGCAAAGACCAATTCTCGCCTCCGACCGATCTGAGTGTGCGCATTTGGGGCGGTGATGGTCCCTTTTTAGTAAAGGGTAGTTTCCCAGTCGGTGAGAGGTCACTGACCATTGACTCGCGGGGGAGGCCATGTCCCTGCTCCCCTCAGCCCTTCCTCTTCCCCCCTTTACAACTCAGTGACAAAGCGCACTCTGGGTCCCCCCAACACCGTCACCACCACTGGGGCTCTGAGCCAGGCGCGCGTGTCTGCGCCCTTTCAGTCCCGGGGTCAGCTCCTAAGACTTCCTGCCACTTGCCAGAGGGGTGCGAGGGCGCAGCCTGGACACTGGCCACTGGCGGCGGACGCGCGACGGAGACGGAGGTCCCGAATCACCGGCCGCGAAGCTCGGGTGCGGGGACGGGAAGGGAGCGGGGTGCGGGGACGGGAAGGGAGCGCAGCTACTCCTTGTCGTCCACGAAGTCGGCGAGCTCCTGGAGCACTCGCAGGCGGCCACTGGCGTCGATGCGGCGCTTCTCGCGGATGAGGTCTTCCAGACTGTGAAACCTGGCCGTGTGGACTTTGTTGTCCCCCAGGTGCACCTTGAGATAGTACTGCTGCTGCGGCGGCTGCGTGCCGGCCGGCACCTCCCCTCCGGCTTTGAACTCCCGCTTGCCAAAGCGGCACCAGGCGGCGAAGCTCTCCGAGTTCGTCCAGCAGATTTCCTCGCTCTTGAGGCCCAGGTGGCCGCAGGCGTTCTGCACCACCAGCTCGGCCACCAGCGGGCGGTAGCGGTACCAGCTATTGACCACCCGGCCCACGTTGGCCGCGCCCGCCTCGTACAGGCTGTCCTGGCGGATCTCGCCCTGGTGCAGGTGGATGATCTGCCCGCCGCCCACGTACACGGCCCAGTGTGGGGTGGGCGCGGGCGGCTCCGGCGCCGGCTGCAGCCACAGCAGCTCCAGCAGGTCGCCGGGCTCGCAGAGCGCGGGCAGCGCGGAGACCGCGGAGACGCTCAGGTCGGCGCCCTGAGGGCCGCCGCTCACTTTGGAGAAGATGCATTCCTGGCCCCGAAAGGCGGAGAACTGAGTCTCGTTGAGGACCAGCTGGTGCAGCAGATGGTGGTGGTGGCGGCTGGGGCTCTCTGGGCAGGGGGTACAGCCCGGGGGAGCCTTCACGCCAAACCTGTCCGGCTGCCCGCGTTCGTCCAGGTCCTCCTCCTCATCCGAGAAGAAGTAGGCGACCCCGACCCGCAGCTCGTCCTTCTCGATCCCCGACGGGTCCCCTGTGGGCAACTCGCTGTAGTTGAGGTGGGTGATGCGGTCCAGTTGGTTGCCCATCAATGACACGGCGAGGCGAGGGCCAGGAGCGGGGATCTACGGAAACACAGGGGAAAGGCACAGTCACCGTCAGAATCGGGGTGCCCCTCCCGCCGTCCCTCCTCAAGACGTGCAGTGCTTCTGGGACCTGCCCGCTCGCCTACGCGTCCGCGCTGGAGTCACCTGTGCCAGCCGAGTTCTCTGCCTCCCCCGGGGTAGGAGGGGCGCAGAAGCCACCAGTCCGGCGGGGGAGAGCGGACGCCACCACACACCCTCCCACCCCGTCCGGGAACCCGGTTCAACTCCCACAAGAAAAAACGCAGGCGGGCTGGAGAGCTGCAGGGTTCCGGTAGCGAGGAGAGGGCGGGTTGTGGCAGCGTGGGAGACGGACACTCGGGGAAGGACGGAGGGATGGGTTGGAAGGGAGAAGGGACGCCTAAGGCCCAAGAGCACGGAGCAAGCTGTGTTCACATTTCTGTCCCCACCCTCTCCAGCCCACCTCCCAGTTTTGCAGTAGGTCTCTCTCCTCCCCTGACAGCGGCTGGCACAATGACAATCGGACATATTCGCAGATATTCACTTGACACCAGCAACATTTTGCACACTTGGAGTCCAGACACTGACAGGCTAGGACACTGGTGTAACAATGTCACAGACACTCACAATGACGAACCCTCGCGACGACACACTGGCACACTTAGACTCCCACATTCGTACATGAATCCAGCCCCAGGCTTTCACGCTCGCCCATACACGTACACCGGAGCAGCAGGGCACACCTGCCCACACAGGCAGGTGCACTCTGCCCCTTACTCCTCTTGCCTTCTCCCCAGCAGAACCAATCGGGCTGCGCCAGGGCGAGGCTGCTCTGTCTAAAATAACCTAACAAAGAGGCAGGGGAAGGACGGGGGAAGCCAGTGCAGTGTCTGTGTGCGGGTGTGGGTGGGCGTGTGTGGAGAGGTCCACTTTCATCCTAAAGACCCCCATCCCTCCTACCCAGCACGGGATTCAAACCACCGGACGAAGAAAAAATCATTTCCAAGGCAAAGAAAGGTGTTTCTCCGTACCCGTAATTTCCCTGCTCCCGAAACCCCAAACTCCTTTAAAGTCTCCAGGTCCCCATGGGTGCTGCGGAGGCGGCGGTGGCGGCGAATGGGTCCTGGGCGGCGCGCGGGGCTGCGGCTCAGTTCTGTCCCGTGACGAGGCGTGCGGTGCGGCTTTCTGCGCGGTGCCCGTGCGCCTCGGGGTCTCCGCTGGCTGGACCCCCTGCTCCACCTGGGCAGTCCGGCTCCGCTCTGCTTTCCGACCGCCGCGCGGATGACTCTAAGTAGCCGGAGCAGCCGGTTCCAGGGCCCGCCTCGGGACGCGCTCATTGGTTGGGGTGGGTGCCCAGACCCTGTCGATCTCCGCCGGAGGGGGAGGGGAGCAGGGGCGGATCTCCAGTGCGCTCCGCCCTGGCCCGCCCTGCCCCCTTCCCCGCGCACCCCAACGCGCGCCACCCCTGGGAACCGAAGTGTGAGTGCCGGTGCGGAGCGCTTCCACCCGCGCCGCTCAGCTCCTCCAAGCTCAATGTAACTGAGGACACAATCCGCTCGCGTTCAGTGTTCTGGGAGGACAGACTCCAGCAGCGAAGCTAAGTCTCAGGGTGGAAAGGAAGCCCCGGGGTACCCCCATTGTGGGCGATCCGAGGAGGGCACCTGGGGCCCTGCTGGGACTTCCGGAGCTTCGGTTCCTGAGGGCCCTTGGGCTGCTCCTCGGCTCGCAGACCCTTTTCCTGCTGGGCACAGACGCCTTTGAAATTGTGCATAAGACGTTTAGCTTTTCTCCCTTGACCTCAGTGGATCTGCTGACCCAGTCCCTGGCGCCCGGTTTAAAAGGAGCGCGGTGCCAAGTGCGCCCCAAAGGTCTGCGACTTGGCCGGCTGCTTCTCTGGCTGTGCCTGTGATTTTGGCCTCCAATTTTCAGTCTGTGAAAGGGGTGCATCATAAATGCCGACAGTAGGACATAAAAGTGTGCCATTGCTAAGGAATTTTTGCTTGGTTTTGTGGAAGAAGAGAGTCCAGCAGTAATTAATGACTGCATTTCCAGATGGAAAGTTAACGAATGAATGTGCTCTGGATTTGGGTGCTGAAAGATGGCTTTCATACATACGCAATTCTAGACCAACAGTTTCAAAAGCTTACATTAAGCCTGAAAGAGCTCTTAGACGTCAGTTTCTAGTACTAATGCTACTTATCTTTGAGACTGGGCTCCAGCAGCTTTCTCATGAAGTCTCCTCTCTCTCCCTAGGGAGAATTTGATGCTCCTTCTTGTGTCGCCTGGGGAGCTGGTACAAACTCTGTTGGAGCACTTCCTGCGTTTCATTATAAAATCGTGCTGACTAATCTCCTCCTTACAAAGTGAACTCCTTGAGAATAGGAGTGCACTTTATGCAACTTTGTATTCTGGGCTGCTTTCCCAATACCTGGCATACAGTGGGCTCCATCACTAACATTAAAAAATGAAAACAGTTTGTATTGACCACTTACAAGTGGCCAGCTAAGAGGTTTAAATAGATGATTTAATTCTCATGCATCTATAGGGTATTCATTAATATCCAAATTTTAACAAACGAGGAAACTGAGGCTCCAACCAATAATTCACCATAAGTCTATGGGATTACAGGGCCAGTTGTTAACCAGGCTATTCTGTTTGTTAAATGAACAAAATCTTGTTTCGTAAGATGAGAAAACTGGTGTTCCAGAGAAGTTAGCTGATTGGCCAACGGTTACGTGGAGACTGATGCATATTATAAACGCGTGTTTTCTTTAGTAGACTACTCTGCTTGAACATTTTCAAAATGCCAAGCATCCAGTTCATGTTTGCTTTTTGAAGGGCTCCGTATACCCAGACAGCCTCCAAATGCAGTGATTTATCAAATTAGATGCTTAATAAGTATTCCTAGGAAAAAATGGTTTTAATATGACCATCCGTATACATCGGAGGTACCTAAATCTTCTCAGAAATTTGGCCATCACCCACAGGCAAGTTGTTAGAAAACAAGTTGCTGTCCTTGGAACTGCCCACGGGTTGTGATGGCCTTTTCTGTACTTGCTAGAAATAACAAACAACTCATTTTGGCTCTAAAGTCTAGAGAATTGAACAAGTGGCTTCAGAGATGAAGTGAGTTATTGGTCTTGTTATAAACTGGACTTCAGGGGTGTCGGGGAGGAGGGTATCTCAAGAGTTCATTACTGATGTCTCAGAGGAACTCAATGAAAGCAGCTCATTGCTTCTCTCTGAATAACCTTTTTTTTTTTTAAATCCTCCCTCCATCCTCAAGATCAAATTTTGTGTACAAACATGTACAAACTATTTGCTGTATTTTGTCCTAGCTGTTCTATGCCAAACTACTCCAGACTATGGAGTAAACAGGCTGCTCCTGTTGCTTGGTATCTCAACACTCTAAAGGATAATTAACATAAAATTTTATCAGTGCTTGGAGAGATAGTGCCTAAAGTTTAAGATATCATTGTGCAGCTTTTTGGATCTCCCTTTCATCCCCTCCTCCCTGCCAGGATAAAAGGCTTACTGCTTTAGTAATCACAAGAGAGAATAAATACCCTGGGAACACCCTTAAAATATAAATCTGGAAACACATTGACTGAGGCTGGGGAAAGAAGGGAGCTAAAAGTAAACTAAGAAAAATGCATATACGCTCTGTAGCCCTTTGGCAATTACAAAGATAATAAAGTAAGAAATAGACCAATCGACTTGAAGGATGCCGTTATTAGAAACCCCTTTATTTTTATCACAAAATGTTGCTCGTAAATTGTTTTATTTTTCTATAATTTTCTACCACATCCTACCTGTTTTTACACCAGGAAAATAGTGTCATCATTAAAGCACAAACTTTGGAACTAGTTGCAATAGTTGGAACTCTATTGCAACATTTATGAGCTGGGTGACCTTGGGTAAGTTTCTGGTCATCAGTTTCCTCATCTGTTAAACACAGATAATAACTGTCTACATCACTGAATGTGAGTTCATGCATGTAAACATAGTGCCTGGCACATAGTGAGCTTTTAATCAATTCCACCTTATTATTATTCTTTGTGGCACCGGGAAGAGGGTCCCATGCCCTACTAGGTGAAGACAAATGTCTGGTTCTGTCTCATCTTTGCTCCAGGCAAAAGCTAGCCCTAGATGGCCTGTCCAAGGGTGTCCTTGGCTGGAGTGTGGGATTGCTTCTGTCTTAAGGTGTTGAGAGCACCGTCTTTCCTTAGAATACTTGGAGACCTAAAGCTCTCTTTAGATTTATGTGAGTGAGCCCTGGGGCCAATCACATTAGTCTGAAGGATTTTGAATTGTTTTTAAATGAACATTTCCTGGTGTGTGGGATATGTGTGGGCAAAGGTCAGGGGGCAGTGATTAGCAGTCAGTCATACGTATATGACCTTTTCTACTGGAGCCATCTGGTGTGTTATCTTCCATCTTTTCTTCTGGGCTCCTTCTTTAGCACTATATGAAAGTCTTTCTCCCAAATTTTACTGATCAGGTCCTCGGCTCACATTGTTATCCTTTAAAATTAGTCCTGGAGATAAGGATTCAGAAGGAATGTGCATTCTCCTTCAATACTGCTTTTTGTAATTGTAGCTACCAAATGCTTTTCTGTTTTTAATTATGTGCCCCACTTTAGCATTTATCCTTTAGTGAAGTTCACTGTCTCATCTGTCCTTGGCCTTAGGCTGTTAGCATACTCACCCTAATCTGGGCCAAAGAATTCTCTGTACCCATCTGGAGCACAGACAGTGCTATGATGTCACTAACCCTGTTTCCCTTCCTGCCTGGCAGGCAGCTAAGTAACAAGTCCCAGCACACCTGCAGTTAGCTGGGCGCCTTGTGACTGAGTTCTGCCCCATGGAATGTGTGTGAAAGTAGAGGAAGCCACTCCCAGGCTTGGCTCTTGAAACCAAAACTGAAATCATGAGCAAGATCTTCCATAAACTCTCTTTTCCCTCTTGGCCGTGTGTAGAGGATGCTTGATAGAACTCCCAGGATCTAATAGGTGAAGGAGCCAATAGATGGAAGGAGGCCAGGGTTTCTGAATGACTGTGTAGAGCAGGTAATATTCCCTCCCACACAAACTGCACTGGACTGTGATGAGAGGAAAAAATAAATCTTATTGGGTGGAGCTACCAAACAATGTTGTGGTTATTTGTTATGGCAGTTAGCGTACACTGATTAATATACTCTCCTTCATTTTAGACCTATCTCAGAACAACCGGTATCCCCCTCCCCTTACTATCTGTTCCTACTGTTATGGTTGACGTACAATTGATGGAATCCCTGTGGCATCTCAGCATGTTCACATCATCCAGAACTGAAAAGAAACCAACAATGGACAGGTTTGTCTCTTCCAGGTACCCCATATCTCTCTATTATTTGCTCTTCAAACTCCCATAGCTTCCATGTGAATAACTTAGCCAGCTCTCTAAATGTCTTACCTGCTTTCTACTTCTAGACCACAAAAATGGCATGGTAAACTCCTTTCAGCTGAGAATCCTGCCATCCTGCTTTTCTTAACCTGACTGTGTGTATTATTGACACACTAACTTTCTATTTCTTCTTAAGTGCCCTCTTCTGATTTTGCTTTCCACATTTTCACATTTTCTGAGTTCCTTCCCATAACTGGGTGTTCTCATTTAACTATCTTTAGTGGCTTCTTATCATTGAGCCATTAAAGTCTCATGAATGTTCCCTGGGCAAAATCTTCAGCACTTGTGGGTTTAATATTTTCCTGTATGAGGCTTATACTGCACAAAATTGTCTCCACCTAGTATTAATATCTCTTCTTGTGACTTCTTCTGGTTTCAGGAGAGTGCATTCCTTTTGCATGGATCCAATTCCCGCTTGTTGATGATGGCTGAGCTTTTCTGCATAGGCCTGGTTCACTATTACACGCTGCTTCCTCTTCCTTCTGTCCGGACTGTCTTTCCCTGCCTTCCGCATTTAGCTTCCACTCAAAATTTATAAACCCTTCAAGCGTCAGCCCCTCCAATGTATCTGTACCCTCAAGTCATTCTAAGTGAGACTGTCTTTTATGCTTCCATACATCATGTGTAGATTGGCCATGAGATGTGTCAGCTATGTGAAAACCCTCATCAGACTGAACTGCTATCATGGATCGATTTTCTTCTTTCTCCTTTAACAGACACAAAGTATTTGAGGAAAAGCCCAAATCTAGTTAAATCTGAATTCCCTTTGCTGAGCATGGATTTGGTGCATAGTGTGCTCTCAGTATGTATACACTGCCTGACTCAATGCACGCATGAGTAATGGTCTGTTTTGTTTATTGAGCTGTCAGTGTTTTGGGTTCAGCTTTCTCTAATTTGAGCTCTCCAATCCCTAGCACATGCACTAAATTAGATAATGTCCAAGAAGGTTTGTTATGTGACATGTAGTATTTGGTTTCCAAATAGTGCTCTAACAGCACTGGGGAACCTGATAGAAATACAGATTCACAGGTTCTCTCCCAATCTATCAAAGCCTAATCTCAGGATTGGCCCTAGGAATCTGCATTTTAAACTGTTTCCCCAGGCATTCTGAATGCAGTATAGTGCAGTATAGTCATTATTAGTCAAGTACTACTCAAATGTAAGAAGTTCTTCTCTTGTGTACAGTGACAGCAGTCGAGGAGTAGGCACTTGGTAAATACCTGAAATTATGTTCTCTAGACATTCTCTGATCCATCTCAACAGAAGCGAGACTCATCTCAGACTTGCTCATACTGAGCTGGGAAATAAACGTATCAGTTTGCATCAAAAGTGGGTTGTACAGTAGAGCTGAGGTTTTACTCCTGTTTCTCTTGTTTAAACTCCTGTGCCCCAGTGCACTGTGCTAATAGGCTGAGGTTAGAGCAGAAGCTTGAGTGAACAAGGAAACTCTCTGGTTCCAGATGGTAAATTCACCTTTTGGCTACTGGTTGATTGATGATAAAAATCCTGGGTTTGTCTCTTCAAAGGATAACTTCTTTGCTGTTCACATTGCATCTGGATTCCCGTCCTTTTACAGAGACCAGCCCATCCACCTATGCTCTGAATGCCATCTCCTGGTGCCTTCTCAAGGACTTCACACTTCTAATTAGCCCTTCTCTTCACCTTCATCTATAACTCCACCTATTTTCCTGGCTCCTTTCCAGTTGCATGCAAACAAAAGTCTCATATCTCAAAAACATCTCCTGACTGTACATCTCTCTTGAGATATACTCCTGTCTTGGAAGAGTTGTCAATACTGTCCACATTTTATCCCAACCCACCACAGGCTACCTTGTGCACCTGTCACCCACTGAACAGCTCTCACCAATGGTCCCACTGGCACTGAATCTGATGAATGCTTTGGGTCCTTACCTTACCTGACTTCTGGCTCAGATGACAACTTCTTCCTTGCTGAGATAAGCTGTTTCTTTCCTTTCACTTTGCTACACTCTCCTGCGTACCCTTCCACTTCTCTGGCTATTCATCTTACAATGTTTTGTGGGCTTATTTCCTTTACTCGTCCTTTCAGTAGTGGTTTTCCTCGGGATTCTTTCCCAGGTTCTCTTCTCAATGCATCCTCACAGTGTCATCTTATCTGCTTCTATAACTTTCATCACATTTCCATCTGATGACTTCCTAATGGAACCACAGACCCAAATATCCAACAGCCTAGAAGACGTGTCCTTGTGGCTGTCCCACGGCCACTAAAAGGGCAGGATGTCGCAAGCAGAACACCTTTTATCTGGAGACCTGTGCTTCCCTTTTTGTCTTTAGTTGATGGGCACCGTTGCCTCCCAGTTTTGCAAGCCAATGCCGGGACGTTATCTATCGCTTTTCCCTTATCCTCAGGCCCACATATGACACCCCCCTCTCCTGTTGGGTCTCTCTCCTGAATGTTCTTTCTCATATTTCCACTTTAGTCCATTCCTACTGTTGCCACCTTAGTTCCAGTCCCCAGAAACTTCCATCTAAATTGCTGCACCTGCCTCCTAAGTGTTCCCCTGACCCCAATGCTGCTTCTCATAGTCACCTTCCCACACTGTCAACAGAGGGATTTCTAAAATGCACATTTTTTAGGTTGGTTCCCTGCTTGCAACCCTCAGTAGTTCTCCATCGCCCTGAGGAAAATATCCAAAGCCCATGTGGCAGCTTCTGATCTTGCCCTTCCTTGCTGCTCCACCTAATTTCTGCCACCTGCCCTCTTGCTTCTTGCTTCAGCCTTGCCCATTAAGCTTATTTGTTTATTTTCAACTGTTGCTCTGCCTCATTGACAGCCCACACTCTTTCTTGTGTGGCTGCTTATGTTCCCTTTGCTAAGATTCTTTCTTATCCTGTCCTGGCAAGAAAGTTCTTCCTCCAGGTCTCGGTTGAGATTTCACCTCCGCCTGGTAGCCTTCTCTGACTTACCGAATCTGCCTTAGCTGCCCTTGTAGATGTTCCATTGTACCCTGCTTTTTTCCTGTTATATTGGCATTGCCTAGTTATATGTCTGTAACTACCATGAGACCATAAGTTCCTTAGGAGGAGGCACTGTATCTGTGATATTTTCACTTGTATTCCCATCATTGAGCACTGTCCACGCTGCACGGTGGAAGGTTAATACGTATTAGTTGAATAGAATTGAATTTGAATTGATAGTGATAGCTCTGGGGAGTTCACAGGAGATTATCTCTCCTTCTCTCTGTCTCTTTGTCTCTCTTTCTGTCTTTCCTTTATCCACTGCCCTCCCACCAACTTAAATTCCCCTGCAACCTATACCCCAGAGCAAGGCATCTCCAGTAAACTTGTAATAAATCCACTGCTGAGTGATAGAAACACTTTAGAATTTAATAATAGTGGACAAGTGGGCTGTCTGTTTAGCTCGGTTGGTTAGAGTGCAGCCTTGTAGAACCAAGCTCAAGGGTTCAGATCCCCTACTGTCCACCTGCCAAAAGATAAAACAAAAAACAAACAAACCAACAAAAAATAGTGGACACATGCTTATTTAAAAATAGTAAAGAGTAAAGCAGCAACTTAGATTTGTTTCACTTGTTCTTCAAGGTGTTTCCTTTGGTGTCACAGCTCATTTTTATAGCTACCAATGATGGCTTACTTTGTTTTCCTGGCTTAGTAATTATCTTTGTCATAATGAGGTATTTATTTATTTTCAAGTTGTCAAAAGTTTGAATCTAATCACAAACATAGCACATAGTTAATAAAGTATGATTTCTATTTAAGAACATGTAGTTAACATACCACTGCAACGAACACATACTCAGCCTATTTCTAAATTACTAAGGGCGAGGAGCTTAATTTATGCATGTGCTTATGTTTCCATTCCATCATCCCTCTTGCTTTAATGTCATCTTAATTGCTGTCTGTGCCTTTGCCTTTGATCCTGGCATCCAAGCTTGTTCTCTTATCATAAAGCAGATTTAGCGTAGGGGTTCTGTTTTGCATGCCTGGAGTTAAATCCTGGCTCCATTACTTAGATGTATGGCCTTGTGTGAGATGCTTAATCCCTATATGCTTCAGTTTGTTTATTTTTAAAATGTGAATAATAGTATTTTTCCTGAAGGAGTTTTGTTGAGTGTTAAATGAGATAATATATTAAAGCATTTAGCACAGTCAGAGAATAAGGACTTAGTAACTATTAGGTATTAAAGACCCAGAATAAGGTCTTAGTAACTATTAGGTACTAAAGAATTCTGCCCTACAGAGTCAATAGCATTTTATTTCTCAATATTCCTCCTTCATGATACTTTGCATTATTTCACTATTGTTATTAGTCTGAAGCACATAGAGAGAAGCCTAAATATTAGATTGAGGATATACCTTAGATACTATTCATAATATTAACTTTCATATTTGATTTCAAAGCACTTATTGAACTTGTGCAATGAACCAGACACAGGGCTTGTACCTGGAAGTGAAAAGGCGAAGAAGACACATCCCCTGCTCTCGGTGGAGCTCACATCACATGTGGGAAGATGGCTAGGATACAAACAAATGCAAACTAATGGAAGGGATCAAAATTTTTAAAAGCACAGAGCAGACAATTATTAACTGTGGGAGAGATCAGGAAAAGGCAGTTTTACTAAAAGACTGTTTTACGAAAAGGCTTTGCAGAATAAATAGGACTTTTCTGAGGAGGAAAAAAGTGGAAAGGCCTTTCAGTTAAAAGGAGCAGCACGTGTAAATGTTCAAGAGTCATGTAAAATCTAATATTTTCACAAAAGCACAAAGTGATTTGCTATTGGTAGATTGTGAGTAGACATGGGCTGGGTCAGGAGGGGCCCTTATGGTATATCATTTTTGAAATGGTTTTTGTAAAGGCCATTCTGGCCCACAGTGTCAGGTTTATACTGAAAGAGAAAGAGAACAGAAGCAGG